ATTTTCAAAGTGAGATGTTACAAGCTTTATGGTCACCATCTCTTATTCCTATTGTATTATTACGCTGGCTCTAATTATTTTTCAGGTGGCATGCATTGGTAATGACGAAACTCAGGCTCTGATTCTTGATTCCATTCATCAGGTACGTTCTACAGTCTTGTCTAATTGGCCCGATCCCCAGCACATTTTTACGTCTCCCGCCCCAATTTAGCGGGTTGTATGCCAAATTATTGACTCTTTACAAAATTTTAGGTGATGACATTGCATTCGAAGGTACAAATGTCTGACATTCATATAGGAGCTGATGAAGTCTTCCAGGTATTCTTGTTTTAATGGAGTCAGGGTGAATGCAAAGTTCGCTGTCAGATATACTGAGTAAAGGGGTTCAGATAGGGAGGCCAAGATGCTAAGGAAGTCACTGGAAAGCGGGAGAAATCCGCATTCGCTCATGCCCTGAATAAAGTAAATGAACTCCTAAGCGGCGCATTTGCACGGCGGACAAGGGTGAGGCGAGATCACTGCAGGGGTATTGTAGTCAGGGCAGATCATCCTTGGGGATTCCCCAACAGGGTGATCGTATTTAGTCGCTGGGGAGGGGGTTGTATTCGACCTGGTGAAAATTTTTTGATAGTTTTCCTTGTTTCGGTTACGGCCTTAAAGGGGGCAAGGGGTCGTATTTGCATTTGCCCCCTGCGAGAGGTTGTTTACTTTTCGTGTTTCCCGTTTCGCGTTTGCTATATGGTCGCCGCAATTAATCCCAGCTGATCCTTCTTCAGAGCAATGTCACTCCTACGTTCATTAAAGGGTCCTCTGCCGTTTTGGCGTGGTAGAACGATGGGTAGGCAAGGCTAACCAGCTTTAGGTGCGTTGAGCTAACGAGCGGAACGAGGGCATGGGTGACCCACTCACCTGCTTCGGAGCGACCAAAAAGGGGAATTCTTCTGATAAGAACCAGGCTATATGATTGAGGAGGAAGAAGCACTTGCCAGCTGATTGATGAGCACGCCTTTGGAAGGGCTATGAACCCTCACATAAATCCTTGAGAAATCCCCAGCTCCCAGCAGGAATCCTTGAAAAGACTCGCGCTCTCAGTGTAAATTGGGCCAAATTTCAGAGCATTAAACTAAATCAAAATCCTCCTTACGGTGTCTAGTTTTCCAGGTTCCTTTGGGTAGAAAACCAGGTTCAATTTGCAAAGTGAGGCGCTCATCTCGCACTTACAGATGGGACAATGTGATGCCGATCGCAAGTTGCTACCGGTGAAGTACCATAACAGTACGAAACGTCTGGTGTTCGACTATATCCGTACTGTTGCTACAAACATTACGAAAACGTTTCCAAAATCGCAGGTTAGTAGCCTCAAATACAACGATTTATGGATTGAAAGCATATTTCAAAGAGGGACGTGGAGAGGTGGGTGACCAGGCTGGCCTGACTGTTTATTCAAAGTGGGCGTGGATGCGTTTTTTCATCGAGGTAGTTTTATTGAAGTAATCGCCATTATGTTTGTTGTGTTTCCAATAGTAAACTGTTCCAAGAAAGCAATATGCCATCAAAAGCTTAGCCGCAGCCATGTTCATCGATGTACGCAGCCGCGCTCACAAGCGGAGACAGCCATCATTTCTGCCTTCCCCTTCTAGGAAGTGCACCAGTGTACAGATAATCTTGAGTCCGCCCACATGGCCAGCGTAGAGTGTACTCGAAATCCCTGAGATCGGGTAGGCGTGGCTGCATCCTTGAACTTAACCTGAAGGAGTCTACGCCTCTGGTAAGATATTTTCATCCTGACAAAATTGTTTTCGTGTCTTGTCCAACACAGAACAAGATGACAGTTGTCATAGACTGGAATATTACACGAGTAACCAGTTCCGTGCCATGTTCAAATGCCACGCCTACCCTGGCTCAGGGATAAGGAGTGTACTTTTACTCACGCCCTCAAAGAGATTAAAGCTGGTGCCGGGCCTCTGGCTAAATTATAATTCCTCCTACTATCCACAGAACAACACTTTCTCTGCCGATATCCATCGATATTGACTGAACTTGCCGGCATCGACTGATGTTGACGAAATTGCATCTATCTCACTTTGACGACACGTTTTCTCCAGGTTCTGATGTGGTATGATGAGTTGAGAGACGTTGAACGATCTTTGATCAAGGAGTATGGATTGGACCGATTGGTAACACCGGTAGTATGGAAATATACGCCAGATTTGGAGAAGGTCGGTCACATTTAAACTCATCCATCAAAAAAGGAGTACAATTTCTAGGTGGTGCAAATCAGCTAACCTACAATTTCACA